AGTGATCATATTCTTTCCAATACGAATAGCTGATATCTTTGGTAGCACATAATTTATTCGAAACCTTTGCTGTTGAAACCGCCTTCATCAAGAATTAATATTCCACATTGTATCTTGTCATGCGGAATTAAACGTTTTCGTAATTTCGAGAAAATCACTTTCGAATGTTCGTCGTAGGAATNAGTGATCATATTCTTTCCAATACGAATAGCTGATATCTTTGGTAGCACATAATTTATTCGAAACCTTTGCTGTTGAAACCGCCTTCATCAAGAATTAATATTCCACATTGTATCTTGTCATGCGGAATTAAACGTTTTCGTAATTTCGAGAAAATCACTTTCGAATGTTCGTCGTAGGAATATCAGGGTTCGCCTAACGCGTCTGTTCATTACACGCCGTTTCTACTTACGGCCAGTATGAATGCACGCGCGTCAAAGAAATCCTGGAACGAGTTCTCCTCGATTTTTCTAAGAAACGTAGCAAAGACGAAAAATGTTGTTCTCAAAATTTCTGGCCGACCTGCTCTTTTCGTCGATTAACAACGCATCTGCTTCGTAATTCGACGAAATTACATAAACCTCTTGCGCAAATGTTTTCTGTACAATCGTCGAAGCTCGACGAGCGACACTTGCGCTAATGCAGACGAGTAAATGTACCGCGAATTTCGCAGACTGTGCAGCGCACATTATTTTCTACGAATATTATATATATATATATATATAGGTTCGCGATATCTGCGAATGCAGCTGAATCAGAATACGTGGAAAGAGTAGGAAATTAATGGAATCACCGGATCGCTTTCCACTTGAAATTATAGATAGGATGGTATACTAATTAATGCCAGAAACTCGGATCGAATGGAACGGTTAACATTACGTAATTAATTTCAGGATATTAGTCGGTTCTAATACTGCGTTGCATCTGATCGGTGCTCGTCAAACGGCATCGTTATTCTGTTAAAGAAAATGAATAATTATATTGTAAATATTAGGGGAGCTTTGTATATTACACTACGCAGCGTATGTTCCAGTAAAATGCAATTTTTTCAGCCAAGATTTGCAAACAAATTAATACGACTTTTACGTTCTATATTAATGATTTGAGTTGGAGATATTGTAAAAAGAGAAAATGAATCTTTAAAAATTTTTATCGTATTGCTTCGTGAAAATATTGATGAACAATGCGTTGAAATCGTAACAGCGTAGAAAAATAACGAAGCAACTGCTTATTTGTTTAATAAACTAAAGAAAGATTCACGTCCCAAAATTTGTCATGCTCTTCCCGTTATAAAAATGATTTAACCACCCCTTGTTTGTTTAATAAACGAACGAAGAATTCAAATTCCAAAACCTTCGA